ATCAGCTTTATGGATTTTGTAAACAAAAGAATCTTTCATTGCATTCCATGACAAAAGTGCTTTCGATTGAATGTTTCTCAACGTTTATTTCTCTAATGTTGGTGTGAGGCCTACTGACGGTATAGATTTTGCTACTTACGTGGCGCCGCTGACCAATCTGGCTGTTTTTAATTCACTATTCGCAGGCACGGACCCAATCTGTCTAAGCCTATTCAAGGTTATCGTTGGTGTCAAGTAGTCATCCGCATGGAAACACCATTCGACAAGTGCAGACCTTCACCGCGAAGGTCTAAACAATCTCTCTTTCAAAGCATGGTTAGCAGAGAAAGGAGATTGCACAGCATCGAATGAATGAAAAATTTATTCATAATCAGAAGCCCCTCGTGCTATGACACCAACCTTTCAACAGAGCAGATGGAATACTCCTCTATATTGTCTCGGGATCTTCAGCTGCAATAATAGTAGTGATAGTGATAATAATAATATTATTAATGACAGCATGCACGCCAAACATTCTAAGGATAATGACAACACCAACAATACGAAATCTAAATCATCAGTATTACTTCAATACAAAGAAGGAACCTTAGAAAACTTACGCAGAATTCTTAACAAGACAGGAACAAAAGTGGTGTCCAAACCCACAAACTTAATTAGGAACAAGCTTCGTCGGTTTAAAGATCCTGTGAGCCCTTTAAAACAAAACATTTCTACACAGGATATTAATATTGGTTGACACATAATATAAAAGTTAGCCTAACAGGACTAGTTGGTTAGTGCACCAAAATAAACATAGATACTTTCACAGAATATATATATACAAATTTATAAATAACTCACTGCGGACTTGCTATTTTCTGTGGTGCTGTCGCTTGTCTTCTTTTTTCTCTCACCATTTTAGCTTCTAAATGACATTTTGAATGAGAATAAAGAATGTACACATTTGACCACTTACAAATGATCTGCGAACATTGTTGGTCCCATATCTTACAACCGCTTCGTGAATCACCCATTACCTTCAACTGCAGTACATTTATTATTTTCCTGCCATTTACAACTTAATTAAAATTAAAAAACACATTACTCCAACTAGGCTGGTTGAATTACTTTCAACTGGTTTCCAGTTGATTTCGGCTAGACAGCGCTGACGATTGATTTGGGGCTATAAATCCTGCTAGATCTGAGCTCTGGCCACACTACCTGCTGACTCTTTGGTTTGGACCATCCAACTTGGTGGCCAGGCTGCTCTCAACACTGCCCCAACTAGCAAAGGGAAGATAAAACACTTACGGTATTCATTGGCGATGGTTTGAGGAGAGAGTACAAGTAGGTAACCACACCAAGATGAAGCTGACGATTTCTTGTCCCCTGACGATTATATTGACCACCATGCTTTTCAATCCTCATGGGTGAACAAATCGGTCACTGGCGGTGAAACGCCTGAGGTTCAATTGACTTCACGAACTTCTTCGATCCCATGCAACTGAATGTATTTCACCTGCACCTCAGGGGGGAGCACTTCATTTGAGCTGTTTACTGAGTTAGTGGTTATAAATGTATCGCAGTGAGATAATGCAGTATCGAAAGCATTTATGCTGCTGTCTAAAGCAATTATGTTTTCACAAACACCCTCTTTACATATTTGGCCCATAATTTCCAGGTATTTTATGTCAGAAAGTAATAGACGGATATCGGAGAAAACACGTGCAAAACTGCCACCAGTTTCGAGTGCAATGCGTGCTGACGATATAAGCTAACCCAAATTTTTCCAAACGGTGGTTCCCTCTCTCAAAACCGTTGTCCGTGACCCAACATGCCTCTGGAACATCATAATCGAAGACCAACTGTACCATTCTCACTACCTGGCGACCTAATTTCTTTCAGATATTCCGAGGCCCGTAGCTTTTCCTCAAATGGGCGGACACTAGTAAATGGGTATAAGTATAAAACTTGGGCACTGTGGTAGAGTATAACTCCATAATGGTTAAGATTTTATTTTGATAAATCACACAGTGTTGTACAGTTATATAAACTGATGACGTTTCGAGCTCATAATCATATCAAGTAAATGGGAAACTGTACACCTTGCTCACTTTCATGGAGTCTTTTTCACCGAGGGAAAATGGCTGCAGAGCCACTTCAACAGAGTTGTGCTGTGAGACTCCATTTGTCGTCAACATTTTTGAGCGCTGAGTCTTTCCTCTTCATGCCCAAGCATTTGACGGTCCCTTCTAAATCAAGGAATGTGTGCGAGCCACTATCTATAAGATTGCCGGTCTTTAGACAGCTATTCCGGACAAACGTTTTCACGCGAACTAGACCGATATAGAGCATCCCATTACAGTTTTCGCATCCGGAAAGAAACGCTGAATTCTCGGTCTTAAGGTTTTTCCCCAAATTTAGCAGGCTGTGGTGGCGCGCCTTGCGTCGATTCGCCTTACAGTTACTTTGTGACGAACAGTACCTTACAATATGGCCTAACTTGAGGCAAACGTTTAGTTTCCTAACGGTTTGTCTCCTATCCTCAACCAACATTTTGCAATACTCGCTAGACCGTTACAAAAATGAAGCCTTTAGATTTCTCTAGTACTCTCTCTGGCTGCTCTGTAATTGACCACTAAACTATGTTACAACGGGTCAAAGAATATTTTCTTCCTGCAGCCCCCTTTCCTTGCCGTCTACGTCACACCTAGGCAGCATTCCATAATGTGTTCGAGCATCTCGTGCTGTCTCTTATACAAACTTGACCAGATTCTCCAACTCCAGCTCTCCGTCGGCCACCAAACTCTGTCTGCTACATCAGCCAACTTTGCCAGCATTTTGATACGGAAACAGCTGATTACTCGTTCTAGATTTATGGCAGAGTTTAGATTAGAAATGTATTCTGTGCTACTCAACGTGATATCAGCGTTACGGAGTTTTGTAGCGAAGTTAATGAGATCATATCCAATCATGCTAATGGGTTTGTAATTCACTGTAAGTTCACTGACAATTGAGCGACCAATCATATGTTCTTGTCCAAATAAGTCGTACACTGTTGGCAAGCCCTTGCGTAGCCGAAGTCCGAGGGAAGCGTCACACATGGTCCCTCTCAGAAGCGCAGAAGGTGTGTTAACAACAGCCTTTTATCACATAATTTGCTCCCAAAAGTGCCTCGATTTTTGTTGGCTTCTATTGCATTATGATTAGGGTTACCATCAAAGTACATCAAACCGACCCTAGGCACACAGTTATGATAAACGATAGAACACAGTTGTTCCTTCATCTCTGACAAAACACGTCCCTCTTCCTATATCTGAAGCCATCATCCTTCTTCTCAGGTCAACTTTCAAACTGGAAACAGAGCTGTCTCAACTCCTCCCCTAACCCTAACTTTCTTGCTAGTTTTCCTCACGTTCCGAATCGGGTAGCCCTCAGTCCACAAAAAGGTATTATATCTCAATCCATTTAATTGCAATCATTGCCAACTGTTGCTTTCCTAAAGAAGTGTGATCATTTTTGGCACTATTGGCATTCATAGGATTTAGATAACACATAAATTATATCAGTGTTTAAGCAAGTCAAGAGATATCACATAATGATTAGCTTTCCAGCTAATTCAGCCTAACATCACTAGAAGTTTACATTTCATGATTTCCATCGTTTCATGGAAGGGAAATTTATAGCACAAACTATTAATGTTCAGCAGTATGATCCAGTGGCTCACCGACATTTTCTCAATACTCGGTATCTACAGTCGCATATTTCAATAACCGTGGACAATAATTTTACACATATCAGATATGCATAAAGTTGTGTGAAGGGGAACATGGGCATCATGCGGTGCGCTTTTACAAAAGCAATAGTCTTGTAGCCTATGCAATTAGTGAATTTATTTTTCAGTTGCAAAGGCAGGTCCCAATAAATTTTTGCATGGCAAGTAGTAGCTAAGGTTAAATTACAGGCCATTAAATTCTACGAAGTCCCCAGTTCCAGAGTTTCATCGATTAGTTCCAGACTCCCAAGATTCAATTACTTGGAGAGTCCAAATGAAAAATTTTCAAGTAAGCATATGAAAAGAAACAGAAAGGGTTTATAAGACTGGCAAGGTTTTATTCCGGTCATTCTAATGTTCTCTGTGGTTTGAATTCTGTTATTGAAGCTTTTGATGACAGTCAAAACATTACATCCAGTGTTATTTCACTAGGAAGTGGGATTCGTATATTTCTTGTAGGCTGAGGAGCATACTGAGGTTTAATTGGATTAACTTCTCCCGACTGGTTCTCCGTGACGAGTCAAGCTTCTCTGACATGTGTTAATTGTAGCGGCTTCTAAATATCTCCCCTTAGACCGCATGGCTGTTATAGGATTGAACATTGAAGATAGTTAAGGAGATAAAGGGATACTGACTTTTACACAGAGTACTCTGCATACAACGCAAGTTATTATCCTTCGACTACTGCTTATACCGAATAAAAATCAAAAAGCTGGGTTGGCGAAATAACCAGAACAAAGGAAATAGCAGAATAGCTTAAGTGCCCGGTCAGGTGTGTTGTCTTCGAAATAAAACTTAAAACACCTTAATCCTCCAGAAACGACACAGAAGTTTGTCTAATTGATCTACTTACTTTAGCCCTAGTGGAGTTTCAATGTCAGGAGAGTACATCACAGCAGTTTTCTCTAGAGATCTAAAATATTCAGGTCATTATATCCAGTCTACTTTATGACGTAGATGACAATCAAGAAAGCCAGAGAAATAGCATGACGGCATTTACCGTGTTCGATACCCAGATCACTTCGATATGATTCACACGCAATATTAGTACCAAAAGCTGGCATATATCTTCGTGGTGGAGGCGGAATTTTCACATAGGATCACTGGAACTGACAAATAACATACAACTCAAGATGGATATAGTTTAAAATTCTCTATAACAAAAACTTCACGATTTCAGGTTAATTCCCAGACTGTGATTTCTCGCCAAGATGCATTGAGCATCGAGCACATTTGCCAGTATAAGTGGCGGAAATTTCTGTACTTACGTTGCCTCACGATGTATGTGTTGGGTGTAATTGTATAGTTTGGTTTTCTAGTAGATTCTGCTGTGCGCTTATGATTTCTAAATACACGGAGTTAATGTGTTAGTACCAATAGTCAGTGATTTGAAAGCCCGTAAACTGGTTGTTTATTTCACTTTTATATTGTATTCGGAGCTGTGAATGAGTATTAAAACGGGTGACTCTAAACTATAGCAGCCCAAAACGAAGCTACCTGATGAAAGGATTGGCGACCTTGACGAATTTATGTACATAAGTTGGTTTAAGCCAAATATGAGGACTCCTGTAATAAATTGGGAGGTTTTCTCGGAACATATACAAGAATACTTTCCCATGTGACCACTTTTTAACATTGCATTACTTGTATATAGACATTTATTTCAAATAACGTACTTTTACATCTGACTGGTCGCTGGAGGTAGTTTTGTTTTGGGCTGCTGTAGTTTAGAGTCACCATGTTTTGGGAAAAATTAATAACTTTATTCGGAAATTTGGAAGAAAGACAAAATGGATCATTCAATGGTAGCGCTGTAGAAATAATGCTTCATTTTGAGTATCCAAAGAAATATCTTTATGTATTGTAAGAGGAAAAAGCCATTGACATATGGTTGTGGCGGGAACCAATATATTCAACTCATTAGTAGTTTGTAGGCTATTTCATCAAATTTATGTACGTGATCAGTTTTGGTAGAGAAGGCAATTCGACACTGAAATTGTGAGGGATTTGTCGATCACGATGGCTTTTTTCTGGCTGACTTTCTTTTTTATTTCCCAGGAGTTGGCGTGTATTACATTTGTCATCACACGTATCCATTTTGCTGTTTTCCTCCGCAGTCCTCTTCAGCTCGCCCTGCTATCCTCCATAAGCTGCCATATCATCACATGATCTCCTACATGTCACCCTTTGAACGCCTATCTGACCCTTTTCCACTTGGCTTCCACTCGAGGGCCTGGCATGCTATGTCACTCGATGGTCTTCTCGGTGTGTGTGATCCATCCCCACTTTGTCTTGCATATTTGTTGAGGATTAAGTCATTGTTTGGTTCGTTCTCAGAGTTTCTTGTTGGTGATCCTTCCTGATCGTCTGGTTTTCAGTATAGAGCGAAGGAGATTGACAGATGTCTGAAACTTGTTAGAAATGCCTTTCGTGACGTGCCAAATGTTTGACTCCTGTAGAGGAACTGACTTAACATTGGTGTTGAAAATCTGAATCTTGTTCTTGATTCTGAATGCTGAAGATTTCCAATGTGACTAGAGTGATGTGAGTGTAAGTTGCCCAAGCAGTTCTGGTTTTGATATCCTCATCCGTTCTGCCTGTAGTTAAAACGATACTGCCTGGCGAGGTAAAAGATGTCACCTGTTTCAAATTTCTGGTGTCATTGGTTGTGTTCTTGTTGTTGTTGTTTTTGGTTGGTTATTTTCATTACCTCCGCCTTCTGTTTGTTCACTTGAAGTCATGCCTTTGCTGTTTCTTGTGCCAGTTTGTGGGTTTTCGCCTTTAAGTCTTCGATTATTTGTGACAGTAGACATAAATCACGCGAGAAGTTCAGATCTAGTATCTTCTTATCGGTTCAGAGTATTCCTGTCTTCTCGCTTCCTACGGTCTAATGCATGATCCAGTCCATCACAATTAGGAATATCACTGGTGATAGAAGTCAGCCTTGATTTACTCCTGTCTTCACTTCAAACGCTTCACTGAGTTTTCCCTTGTGGATCACTTGACATGTGACACTCAGATAGTTGTTGAAGGAGGTTAATAAAGAATTTGGGCACTCCATAGCGTTGAAGTAGTTCCCAAATTACTTTGCGGTCTACGGTGTCGAGGGAATTTTCAAAGTCGACGAAGTTGAGATAGAGATTTGACTGTCACCCTATGCCTCTGTTCGTTGATGATGCGTAAATTTGCAATGTGATCCAGACGTGATTCGCTCTTCCTGAATGCAGGTTTTCCTGGTAGGAGTTTTGTATTCAGTGCATCTTTTAGTCTTTCTAGGATGACGCGACTTATTTTTTTGTTTGGTGTGGATAAGAACATGATTCTGCGCCAATTCTTACAGAGGTCTAAGTCGTCCTTCTTTGGCAGTTTGAGACTGGATTCAACACAGAACTTTGCTCAGATGTGCAGCAGTTCGAGTCGCCACACTCTATGTAACACAGAGAAAGGAGAGAGTAAAGGGTGGTTCAAAAGACAGATAATAAACAGAAGTGTCCCAATCAGTAAGTACCTTTGTTTCTTTCCAAACATTTTGCAATAGTGGCGTGAGGACATCCGCTATGATCTCGGGATCCATTTTCAGTGTTCCAGGAGGAATGCCATCCAGCCTTGCTGTCTTCGCGGCCTTCAGTAGCTTGATTGTATTCACGTCTTCTGCAGTTGTTGGTAGATTGGTGTCCACTGACAGTTCTGTAGCTTTTGATGGTATTTCTGGCCGAGTTGTAGATAATGGTCGGTTCGAGCTTTCTTATAGGCTTCTTATCCTAGTACGGCGTGCTAGCTTAGACTTCATTATGCTTTGTGTTCTGCTAATCTAATCTATCCTGGCCTAATATTTTGACTTGAGTATTTGACGTCATGATCATTGTAACGTATTAGATAAACTAAATTGTTTTGTTTAGTGGTTTCCACAGGTAATTTTTTTCTAAGTGGTGTTCTAGATTTGAATGTCGCTTGTTAAGATTCCTATGTGAGGTCCTAGAAGTTTGGTCTTTGTATGGTAACTCTAGTGATGTTTTAAGTTCCATCTTTTTGGTGTTGTCATCTTTGTGTGTATATTAATTACTCATATCATACCCATTTATCTGCTTCATTTTTATTGTCTCATACATTTCTTGATTATTATGTATGGATAATTTTTAAGCGTCAAGGTTTCTCTTGTCTTTCGTACTTCCTGCTATAGATTTTCCTTTTCACTATTTATATGTTTATTCCTTGAACATTTCACCAATCCTACAAACGATGGTGTACAGAGTTGTGTAGTTACAATTGGTATGATTATAAAACAATAAATTTTGTTCAAAATGCCACCCAGTAAATAATACCGTATTACTGTGATATATCCAATAAACGAATAATTTTAGAATTCTTAAGGCTATTACTAGTCTACTTATTTTCGGCTTGGGTAACAAGGGAGGTCAGTCGATGCGATTGTGAATATGCATCGATTAGAATGCCTTAGACATGTGCTACACAGATCAAGTCGTTGCTTTCCCCAAAAAGCGGAGTGGGGTGATATAAGCTTAGGTTGGAAAAGAGTTAGTGGTGGTCAGACTTATGATCAATCCAGAAATTACATCAACGAAAGAACAATTCCGCCTACATATGGACTGATGCATTTTCTATCAATTGGCGGTTATCAGTATTGAGCAACAGGATTTTTTTTCAGGTGACTATTAAAGTGAGTAAGCGACTCCAGTGAATGGAAATTCATGGTTTGGTTTTACCGACAGATGTGTGCTGCTGATAACTAGGTGACTGTTATAGTGCACATAACTCTTAGAGATGCAACTGGTGTGGCCCTCACAGATTGCGTAGTATTCATCCGCGGATTCGCTGGGGCATCAACAGCCATCATTTTTCTGATATTTTGACTCGTTTGTGCGTGACTGACCTAGTTTCAAGACAGCCTTGCCCGAAAGTTGTCACATTCCGATTTGTGTGTTATTCACGCTATTTCTCTCCATTGTTTCTAGTTAAATTGTGGATATTTGTTATTGTTTCTATTAGGTTTTATATTGTTGTCACCTGTTTTTAATTGTGATTTAAATATAATGCACTTTTAGAAGTCATCGCTTATGATGCCTTCTAATCTTGCCCTTGGTTTCGCCGTTTCTGGCACACCGTGGCATTTAATTTCCCATCTGTTTCCGGATAAAATTGGTGGCCGACCAGCGTGGCTTGCGCTTTCACATTTACCATCTCCAAGTGAACTGGCTTGTCCAGTGTGTTCAAATCCCATGTGCTTCGTCTTACAAGTATAATCACTATTCCAAATATTATTTATGCTCAGTTATATTCACCACTTTCTGAAAAGGCAGACTGTTTCCATCGAATGTTGTTCTTATTTATGTGCCGCAAAGGTGAATGTCATCATGAGGCGGATCAAACACCGTTCTTTGTATTTCGCTCTCAGTTACCGAGAAAAAACTGCTACTACAGGTAATCATATGAATTTCTATGTTATCTTCTGTATTAAGCTTTGAACCACCAGAAAATGAATATCCTAATTTTGAAACTGTGAAATCCCTGATGGAATCCAATTGTCTTCCATGTGCTGCTAAATATTGTTCTCTTTGCCCGGTCTGTGGATGCAAAGCAGACAAAATGTGTTCGAAGTGTAAGAATACTTTCTATTGTTCAAAAGTTCATCAGGTAATTATTAGTTCAATTATGTGAACGAGTACTGTCCGCCTAATTAGGTTTTAGATTGGAAGCGGCATAAGTCTGAGTGTGGAACGAATCAGGAAGCCATCAAGTTATCATTTGAGGAAAACAGCTTTTTGCTCCCTGAGTATCGTCTATGTTCTGAACCTGCAGATGATGATAATGATAGTGATGATTCTGACGATCAAGAGGAGAGTGGCAGTGAGATCTCTGAATCAGAACCAACAAAGTAAAGCAGTTAGAATTAAGCTTTCTTTGTATTCTCTATTTGTTTCTATTGACAATACTTAAAGGCTTGAAGTTTAGTTTACCTATTAGTTTGGATATATCACCAAGATATATTTGGCAAACTTGGCGAAATTTGTTCGGAAGTGGTGCACAGAAAAGAAGGTCGGTGAACTTGCGTCATCATACTTTCATTGGACACGTTTAGTCTTTTTCTGGATCATGTCCTGAAGCAGTTATATAACCATGTTGTTTTGTAGTCACTTGTCGATGCTTTCATCGTTTTGTTTGTTTTAGTCTCTATTTCTTACTTACAATACGTTTTGTATTCTAAGTAGCTTTCCTTATTATTTGTAATTTATTTTACGTTACTTTTGTAATGTTCTCATGCTGAAATAATTGGGGACAGACGTTAGGAAGAAAAAGCTTACCAACATTTGTTTTGCCTTCAATCATGAGCATGAAAACGGAGGGCCTGAGAATTGTTTGCAAAGTGTATATAAGTTACAGTTATACAAAAGTCTGAAAAGTTTAATTTCCAAGTATTGTAGAAACAGCACTGGGATACTTAAATCTGAGTGGTTAGAGTGAAAATAGATTTATGAAATAGCAGTCACATACTAGTTTGATCCCCAAGATTAATGATTGAAGTATCCTGATCAGTTACAACTCTAGAAGCTCTTGATGATTAAACCAGGTCGGTTTAAACCTATCAACCATCACGTTATCACCGAATTATTGTATTAGATTCTGAAGTCTAGTGCTGTTTGCGAAACCCTGGAAACAAATTAAAACTACTCATATTTCAACTACTTTTTCTTCTTAAGTGACGATGAAACAAAAGCTCTTGAGGCCATAGCAAAAAAAGAAACTAAAGAAGAAACGAGATTTCGAAAGTTCAAAGAATCGATGAAATCAGCACCAGACCAGGTGGGTTGTACATGCGCATCCTTTTCTCATAACTTATGTATCAAGTGTATACCTGTCCCACTCCGTTAACTTCCGCATGCTAGTATGCTCATTTTCATATTGCATGTATTTATGTTCACCTTTCTAAGTAGTACTTCACAAAATATTTTGCGTTCAAATCATAGCCTGCTTCTTAGTAGATGTCTTGAAGTTCGTCATTCTAAGTGAAATAAAAATTTTGACTTAAGGACACTGTGTTAGAGTATAACTCCATTACGGATAGAATTTTATTCTGATAAAATCTCACAGCGTTATACAGTAATATCTACTGATGAGGTTTCGAGCACAAATTATTGTTTTTGAGTTTGTCTAGGCTTTTACTTTCTCATGAAAACATTACAGTGTATCCTGATTATATAAAAAAGTAACTTGATCAATAGCAAACAGTTGAAGGTTTGGAATTTGCGGGGGATGATATTGTAGCATGTGTCCAAGTTACCGAGGTCGGTATTTCAAAATGAAGTCACTCATTAAAAGACGATCTTCACCATTTCCAAACATACCGTTGGATCCTAAACAATAATACCACACGTAGAGTCGCCGCTCACCTCGGATAGGTTACGCTTAACAAGCGTAGAGCAGTGCTGCGTTTACTGAAGTTTTGTAGACTTGACTATCCACGATCAGACTGACGTCGTGGAATCACTAAAGGTTGGCGTATGCCTCTCAGTTTTCATCATACGATTAGAAATTTCACCCATTCCTTTAATTAGATATCCTAAACACGAAAGTTTTACTGGGTAAGCCACAACTGCAGCGAAGTCATTCGGCTTTTAGTAGAAATCAAAAGATATATACTTAAATGATACATGAAGTGACATGAACTTGTGTAGGTCATTTTGCAGGTTAACATTTGTTCACTGATTAAATATATTTAGTTACCCCCTATCTCTGTTATTATAATCACTGGTCTTGAAACACTAGATATCAAAAATATGTGTATGTGTTATTTATTGTGGAAAACGTTAATTCATACATGAATATAATTTTCGCTCAGATGTTTGATTTGTAAGGACTTGATGAATTTTATGGGGAAATAGTCTTTATCCACATAAACAAAAGTCTGTCCCTGAAGCCTTACAAATTTTTAGTATGAGGAACGCAACAAATAGGACAGAAGAAACATAAATACCATCCAAATGAAAGTCTCCAATCAAACTAGCGATTAAATCTGATTAATTCCTTTTTACCTATCAAACAATGACACCAGCTTGCCCAACATCGCGGATTGGTAGAACTATTTATTATTATTATTCCCTTGCGTTACGAGTGGAACATAGGGCTTCAACAACACATCTCCACTTTGTTCTGTTTTCTGCCGTCCTCTTCAACTGGGTCCACAATTGACCAAACTCCTTCATCTCTTCTTCATACGATCTCCTCCATGTCACCCTCACACTGGCGACCCACTCGTCGCTTCCCATTTGGATTCCACTCGAGAACTGGCCTGGTGTGCAATATCATTCGGTGGCCTCCTCAATGTATACCCGATCCATCTCCACTTTATCCTATTTATTTGTTGAGCGATCGGCTCTTGGTTGGTTTGTTCTCATAGTTTCTTGTTGCTAACTCTTTCTGGCCATTTGATCTTCAGTATGGAGCCAATGAAGGCAGCTGTTGATGAAAGTCTGCAACAAGCTGTTTGAAATCCTTTTCGATACACGCAGTGCAAGTTTCTGACCCGTATAGAAGAACCGACTTGACACTGGTGTAGAACAGAATCCGAATCTTGTCCCTTATGTTGAGGCGGCGTGTAGATTTCCAAACTGGTTTCAGGTTGATGAAGGCGTATCTTGCCTTTCCGATTCTGACTTTGATATATTCGTCCGTTCCGCCTGTAGTTGAATCGATGCTTCCCAGATAAGTGAAGGAAGTCACCTCTGTTAAATCTCTCCCGTTGGTGATGCTGGTTGTTGTTGCTGTTGGTTGGTTGTCTTCATCACCTCCATCTTCTCTGTGTTCACCTGCAGTCCTGTTTTCTCTGCCTCTTCAGCCAGTTTATTGGTTTTCACTTGCAAGTCTTCGAGTTTGTGTGACATTAGACATATGTCATCTGTGAAATCCAGATCTTCCAGAGTCTTCTTGTTGGTCGTCCAGCGTATTCCTGACTCCTCGCCCCCAACAGTTCGACGCATAATCCAGTCCACCAAAATTAAGAATATCATTGTTGATAATAGGAAGTCAGCTTGTCTTGCTTCTGTATGCACTTCGAACGCTTCACTGAGTTTTCCGTTGTTGGTCACCTGACACGTGGCATTGTCATGTAGTTGTTGAATGAGGTTGACAAGGACTTAAGGTACGCCGTAGTGTTGAAGTAGTTTCCAAATTACCTCTCGGTCTACGCTGGCGAAGGCCTTTTGGAAGTCGATGAAGTTGAGGCAGAAGCTTGACTGCCATTCTATGCTTTGTTTGATGACGATGCATAGGGTTGCAATTTGGTCAGCACATGATTTGCCTTTCCTGAATCCTGTTTATTCGTGGCCGGTGGAGTTCCAATGCATCTTTTATTCCCTCCAGTATGATGCGACTTAGTACTTTACTTGGCGTGGAGGAGAGCATTATTCCACGCCAGTTCTTGCAGATGCCTAAGATGGCCTTTTTTGGTAGTTTGACGAAGTAACCCTTCTTCCAATCAGTAGGCACCTTTCCTTCTCTCCAGACTTTTGCAGTAATGGAGTGAGAACATCTGCTTTAATCTCTGGTGCCGTCTTCAGTGCTTTGGGAGGAATGCCGTCTGGTTCTGCTGCCATCCCAGCTGGCCTTAAGTAGCTTGATCACATTCAGGATTTCTTTCGTTGGAGGAGTGGTGTCCACTGGCAGGCAGAGCCGTTTGTGCTGTTGGTGGTATTTCTGGGAGAGTTGCCGGTGGTGGTAGATTCAAGAGTCCTTTGAAGTGATCAGCCCATTGTTTGATCTGTTTCTCCTCCTTGGTGGTCAGTTTTCTTTGAGCATCTTTTATTGGCCTCATCATCTTGTTTGACCTCTTCTCGGATAGAAACGTAGTTATCTGATATAGTGTCCTGCGGCCTGTTCTGCTTCGGTTTCTAGTGTGTCGTAGCATTGTCGTTTATCTTTTCTAGCACTCTTCTTCACTTCTGTATTCATTGCAGTGTACATTGACCTCAGCTCCTCCTTCTGTTGTCCATCTTTGCATTGAGTCATCTACTCTTTCATCTCCCTCCTCTCCTCGATTAGCTTCCAGGTATCCGTTGACAGCTACTCCTTGTCTTGTCTCTTCCTGCTTCCTAGAACAGTTATACACGTTTCCTTAAATATCGCTTTCAGAGAGTTCCAATGTTCTTCCACTCAGGTTTTTCTCCGTGATGCCACGTAGTGTCCGCCTTTGCGCTGATCTAATCTGCAGCGAAGGCATCCCTTGTAGTTTTGTCCTTCAGTTTCTGAGTGTTGAACTTGAATTACAGTGGCCTGTCTCCATTTGTTCTCAGGGATTTAAGCTTCACCTTTTAGGTTCCTTGAACTAGATGATGGTTTGAGCCCGCCCACGTCTGCTCCCCTTCTCGACTTTGTGTCCAGCGGACTGGTTGCGTCTCCACTTCCTTGAGCAGCATTGAGGTGAAATCTATTTGGTTTGTGGTGTGTCTGTCAGGCGAAATCCATGTTGTTTTGTGTATATCCTTGTGTTTGTACATGCTTCCTCCGATCACCAAATCGTTGAAAGAGCAGAAGTCTGCGAATAATTCTCCGTTCTCATTGATTTCCCGAGCAAGAGCCTTCGACCCATGATGAGTTCGTTTACTGTATTATCTGCTCCCAGTTTGGCATTCATATCGTCTATAGGAATTTTGATGTCACCATTTGGGATGTTGTCCATTACTTTTTTTAGTTGTCTGTAAAAATCCTCCTTCTTTTCTTGTTCCGCATTGTTTGTAGCACTGGATAATTGTGACCTTCCTTCCTTCCTTTTGTGTTGAGTCTTGCTGTCACGATCCTGGATGAGGAGATTGGTTCCCATTGCATTAGGGCTTTGGCTGCCACTGGTGACATCGTGACTGGCACTCACTGCCTCAGTGTGCTCGTGGTTGTCGTCTGGGTGACCGTACTGGAGTAGATTACTGACTCTCTAGTTGACAAATTCCATAGTCCACATCCATTGCATCTGCTCTCGCAGATTCCCACCAATTCCATACCAAATCTTCTCATTTCTTTTGGCTACCTGGGTAGTCTTCCCAGTATCTTACATTCCACGTCCACTTCCCCATTCTTATTCTAACTCTCATTGACAGAGAGAAAACACATCGGCTGGCTGACTGGCTTCCCGAAAGTAGACTCTCACCAGCCAGCTGTGTCATTTCGCCTCTCCAATTTGAGCGAGGAATAAGTTTGTTGTAATTTGAGGTTTTTGTATTTTTAATATACTTTCTGTGTATTGAAGTTTCTCTAGAGGTTTGAAAGATGTAGTGGTGTAGGATTGCTAGCCCCACGCCCAACCCTACCTCTTTACTCTGGCTTGGGACCGGCTAGAAAACTATCGAGCTAGATAACTAGGCGAGGTCGAATTAAAAACTCCCAAGTCATTGGATTCCAACTAGTGAGTAGACGGCTTGACTTCTAACCAGAAGATCCTGAGTTCAATCACTGGTGGCGTCAGGGGTACACACTGCCGAAGAGTTCCAGACTGGGACGAAAGAGATGTCTAGTGCTCAGTAATATTGGTTTGTAACAAAATTCTCGCAAAAGCTTATCAAACTCTTGGTTCATTTTCAGCTTTTGAACAATAAATCACCATTTTTCACACCCAAATATAAATATATTTTGACTACTTAATACGTGATGGTGAGACTTACTTTTTTTTTACTTTGCTTCGGCTATCTCCTACGGAAGGATGAGCCGGCTTCATGAACATCTCGAATAATCGCTGCCCAGGCGCAGCGATCTGATGAAGAGAGTTTACGAAGTTTCATGGGAATTTGGTACGAGTGATGTCCCCAGAATCGCTCGGCCTTTTGTTTGAGAGTGTAGCTCTAGCCTTTACACAACCAAGTGTGACCTACAAGGCAGTAGGAGTGGAGTAGGGAGTCCACTATCTATTGGCAGCCGGTGACCGGAGTTCGGTTCATACGCCTT